TCGATATTTCAAAACAAACTTAGTGATTGTTCAACTGACATTATTTTGTTATTTTTCTTTGTTCTTAGTTGTTATCTGACAATTTTCACCGAAATTAAATAGTCTAACTATTTAATTATGTGTATTGATTATTTCCAGTTCTTATTGGTATGAAATAACAAACTGTCGTTATGTCGTCATTGAGTTAATTGATGGTGTGTGAGTTTGTACTAAATTATTTGAATTTTCACTTCCTTAGGAGCACATGAAAGCTTTTTTTATCTGATGTAAAACTACAAATCAACATTTTTCTGCCTCATGTCAATAAGAACTTGGAATAATCAATATACCTAATTAAGTAGTTAGACTATTTAGTATCAGTGAAAATTGTCAGATTACAACTAAGAACAAAGAAAAATAACAAAATAATGTCAGTTGAACAATCAATAAGTTTGATAAGACGCTTTCAAGAAAACACTAAATTAGAAAGTTGCAAATATTAGACGAATTGTTTGTATTGATTAAAAGAAATAGATAGTTTTGTAGAGAATTCAAAGGAGAATCTTTTCAATAAAAAAGTTTGTTTTGAAATATTGAGACCGTCATGTATTCTGGCGCACCTGTTATAATCCTATGAGACACGAAGCAACTTTAAAATCCTTTTATTATTTATGTAATGCAACAGTTTAATACTTAGTCTGCTATATTTTATTTTATGCAAATCCCTTGGTTCTACTCATCTTAGAAATTTTTAATATAATACTAAACTTTTCCTTCCTTTGACTTTTGATGATTAAATACTATTCAGAAAGAAATCATGTGTTCGTCGTGCTTCGCGAGAGCTCAATAGCAAAGTGCACTGATCCGAATAATCAGTTATCATGTGTTGGGTTCGATTCTCGATTGAAGCATATCTTTTATTTTCTGTTTGTTTATTGAAAGTCAAAGGAAGTAAAAATTTAGTATTTTATTAAACATTACATATACTTCTTTTCTCTCCTTTGAATATTGAAAATTTAATTGAAATTATTCTATTCATCTATTCTAATTACACAGGAAAAAAAGATTTTTAAACAAAAATCATGTTGAACGTTAAAACCTGGATAATGTAATTTTTCTTTTGTGAGTTAGATTCTTCCTTTATGTTGTAATAGCCTATTTGTTGTATGTTGGTAATAGATGTATCAATACGCATAGTTCTTTCAGATCTGTCTCCGTAACTGATATTCAGTTTCTATGACATGATTTTTCATTAAAACAAAGATAGATCGTTAGTTTTTGAGAATTTTTCTGGCTAAATGAAATTGTTAACTCAAGTAAAAATAATCTTTTTTTACTCGAGTTCTCTTAGACTGATGAGATTTTACTTTTTGCTATTGTACGTGTGTAGAAAGATTATGAATGAAATCGCCTTCGACATGGATTAGAAAAAAAAGAGATTTTTGAATAAACTAATATCGATTGTGAACTACAATATGTTAATATATAGTTTTCTTGATTTTCAAGTCAATTGATTCCGTCTCTTTGGGTATGCGTCTTTACAAGCAAACTAATCTATTGAATACATACATGCGTGAAATTGACAGTGCTATTTCATTTATTTCAGAAAGGTTTATTTTTTGTCTTTCAATTGACAATTATTTTAAATGATTCTGTATTATGTATTCTTAAAATATGCCACATCATGTAGGCTTTGTTCTATGTGTTTTTTGTCTTCTAGTTATTTTATTATTCAGTATCTGTTTATAAAAATAGAATATTATTCCACACAGTAACTATACTAGAGTTATCATTCTTATTGAGATTAATTGATATAAAACAATTGTAGAAAAAGAATAAATGTTTATGACGATCCAATGTGTATGTTTAGAGAAGGTGGTGTTTCAAGGAATTCAATCACAGCTTCTATCTATTTTAATAAGCAAGTTGAGTAAGGCAAACTGAGAGAAAAAACAGATGGATAAAAAAAAAGAAATAAAACATCATTTGATTGAAAGTACACTTCAAACATAAAAGACTATTTTTTTCATTCTATAGAATATACATGCATAAATCAATTTTTTCCTGTTTTTTTGTCTCTTATAACAAAATAATTCAATATGTCACTCATGTTCATACAAGTAGATATCTTTTTTACGTCTATAAAATTCTCTTATTGTCATTGAAAAATAATCAAGATACGATATGTTGTTTAGATTGATAAAAGAAAACTGTTAAAAATAGTTGAAAATTACCTGTTGACAATATATTATCATTCATCTGTATTTTTCTCCTCATCGCCATATTATATTTCAAATGAAACATTAATTGATAATAGAAATTCTACAAATAGTGATCTTGTAAATATATTTACTCTTATATAAGTATGGATCATTTTAATAATTACAATTGTTATTGGTACAACAGGAAATATTCTTATTCTTTACGTTTATATTAATCGAAATGCTAATAAAACATCGACTTCTTTTTTTATTAAAATCTTAGCTTTTGTTGATTTAATCATATGTTTAATTCATAAAACATATTTTTTTGTCAAGGCGTTTTCTATTTGTTGGAATTTAAAGAAAAGAAGGGACTCGTGTCTTTTATGAAATTAGAAAAATAAATCATCTTATGTTTGACAAAGATCAAAGTAATCAACAGGACTCCTAACAGGACAGGACGACAGGACAATTTCTAAATTTTTAACAGGGCACATATTTAAATTACTTGTCCTGTACGAGTTGCACTGAAAATTGTCCCCTTTCATTCGAAGCAGTAAGCCTAAAAGGTGTCGCTGCTGGCTATTTTTTGCAGAGACGAAATTTTTGTGCGAGATTTCGATTGGATTATGAATTCAGCAAAGCATTTTAATGTGAGTCGATTGAACAATTCATCTTTGTTTGATGAAATATAATGCTATTATACGTATAGGTTAGGTTACTATATCTACTTTTTCATTGTTGTTTTCGAATGTCTTCTTAAATATTGTTTCACCTTCAAGTGGTATCACTCAATCTGTTTCCACACCACTGTCTAAAATTAGTCTAATAAAAGAGAATAGTAATTTTTAATCAATCAAAATCCATATAAAAAAATCCGAAAAATTGGATTGAAATCGTGCACTGTAATCTATTTTTCGTAATGAGAAAAAAATCGACTTGAAACTAATTTGTTGGAAAACTTTGTCATGCGGCTTGCGCTCTATTCACTTATAATTTATTTTTGGTTTTGTTCACTTATGTGTTTTTTTTGCGTGAAACCATTATTGGTTAGTGAAAAAAAAGAGAATATTTTCATTATTTATATGTTACAGTATTTTTGAAAGGGAACTAATAAAAAAAAGACTATAATACATTCAATTATTCGCAAAATATTTTCAGAGAAAATTGCCACTCGGTTGCGTTTTTTTTGACAGAACAGTGCAGGATAGTACACAGGGGAAAATTTTTCGCCCTGTTAGTAGCCCTGATAGACAACACTTTTAATTATATGAAAATAAGCAAAAATTTTCAAATTTTCTAAACTATCATGTTTTCAATGTTAACATGAATCAAGATGATTCATTTTTACCATTTGACTTGATTTCAAATTTAATATTTTTAGATATACATCACATTATTCTTGATTTTTAACATCATCGTCAACACTAATAAATAGACCATTATAAGCAATAGATTCAGCAGGATATGGATCATAATCACTTTATCCACTGAATTCAGTATAATCTCATGACAGACGATTTGATCAAAATACTCTATAAATAAGCATGAAACTTCATTAGTATTAGGTTTAGTATGTGATGGAGTGAGTGTGTGGATATGGGGATTGTTGGGGCTGGGTGTCGGTATATGGTATTGGATGTTAAGAGAAGATCCATCCCGCATCCAAACCCTTGGCTCAGTCATTGGGGCGAATCATTTCTGAAAAAACTCGAACCGGCTGCTAATTTTCCTTACATTAAAATTTTATAATCTAATTGATGAAATAATTTTAAAGTTTTGATTAGTGTTCAACTCACAGATAAACATCAGACGAGAAAGTTCTGTTGTATAAGAAACTATAGCAGAAAGGTCGTTGAAAATATAAACATGATCAATAACAAGATATTGGATTGCTTGATGGTAGCAATCGGCGATGAAACAGTTATTCTACTGTACTATGTCCATATTCCTGTGCGAAGAAATAAATATATCTCAATTTGGATAAATCGAAAAGCAGTTGATAGATGTGATTGAATTCTTCTGAAATATATCCTATGCTCGTAGTTAATAGAAATACGCAAAATAAACAAGTTAAATTGATAAGAACTGAACGAAGTATTTTCGGTTTAATCTCATTAAGAATAAGTTATTTGAGATGATTAAATAACGAATCAATGGTAAATGACGAGACGAGATAAATTGATTGACAACATTTTTTCATATCGATAAATGAAATGAAAATATTTTTTGTCTATTGCATAGAATAAATTCTTTAATATTATTCATGAGTATGTCTTCTGATAGTGAATAATTAAGTTTAATTTCAAATAGAAGAGATAAAGAGTTGAGAAGTTGTTGAAAACAATAATTAAGATTTATATTTCATAAAAGACTTCATTAGACACATTCTCAATAGAAGTTCATGAAATTTATCTATTAAAAATAACAATAATTAAATATTACATCTATTCTATGAATAACTTACATTACAACTTCTTTGTTAATCTGTCCGACGATTTGTCAATAGTTAATTTTCATTTAACTTTATTGATATCTTTGTTTAAAAAAGTGATATGATTGAAAAGAAAGTAATTCGAACTTATATTTCTTTCTTCACGATATTAGAATGATAACATCTTATTCTTTTTTCCTTTACTTTATAAATAAAATATCTCGAATAGATTATCGACTATTCATTCGTAAGTGTTCGCTGTTTCATTCTTTGATATCTTAAAATGAATATATCTTCTTCAACTCTATTGATTCATTAATAAAGCTTTAACAATTCAAAGATAAAAAATATAGTTTATATAGTTTTTGATAAATTAAAAAATGGTTTTATATAAAATCTTTATGATAATCATTTTTCCATTGCAAATAAATAACATCAAATACACGTTTGATTGTATAGCAAACAAGAAGTTTGTTCGAATTGATCATATCCTTTAATTTTTCAATGATTCTATCATCTGCTGTTGGAATACGAAGACATAATGAATAAAGATATTGATTGCAATCATTGTTAATTTTATGTAAAATCTCTCTTATAAATAATTCAATATTCGTAATATTAATACAATTGATTTGAAGATAATTCATCTGAGGACAAAATTTAATAAGGAAATAAACTTCTTCAATTTCATTCATCTGTTCAAGATAAACTTTAGTTATTTGATTTTTATTTGATATAAAACGACGAACTATGTTTTTTATAGATGAATGTTTTGTTGGTGATAATGACAAAGAATGAATTTTTAATGAATCAAGTTCAGATAATATATATATTATATCCATTAATATTACAAAATCAATTTTTTCTTTGCCAATTTCCAAATGATAAAACTGTGCTACTTTTAAGATACCATGAATATCGGTTATTGATAATTCTAAATATTCATTACAAGGAGGATACGTGAATGTAAGCTGAGTAGAGTTTGAAGATTCAATGGATGAATTGATATTATACCATCTTTCTCTAAATGATAGCAAATAAATTTATTCATTATATAAAAGACTTGATGATACTTATATGAATGAATTCTATAAATAACTTCAAATGAATCTATTTCAGTTTCAAATATCCATTTTTTTTCAATCCAAAATGATGAAACGAATTGATTAAAATTTTCAAGATATGTTGAAGAGTCATAGGCATTATCAATCATGTCGTAATATTGAAAATAAAACTTTTCTAATTCAGGTAAATATTTTAGAATTAATTCTTCCCATCGATTAGCATCTAGATAAGTCATATCTTCAGACCGAGTGATAAAATGTAAAACTTTTAATTTACAATCTAAGTTTTTAATGAACGTTGTAAATTCATCAAATTTTAAATAATGTACATTTAAAGAGATATACGTTAAATTTGATAATCTTATTGGTAATATGTTTGCAATGGTCGAATTATTATCGTTTGTATGTGCAAAATTCAAATGACGAAGTTGACGTGTATAAGTTAATATAGCCGAAAGTTCATTGAAACTACAAGAATGATTAATAATAAGATATTCAATAGTACTGAATTGACCTTTGAGAGAAAATGGTAGTGAAACGTTTATATCAGAATCTTCTGCTGAACATTTGAGATATTTCAGTTTTGGCAATGCAAAAATTAATTGATAGATATCACTTAATTCGGTTGAATTATATAACATATCGATTGTTAGTGAGAATAAACGAGGTAAACAAGTTAAATTGGACAGAAATTCGATGAGTATAGTTGGTTCAATTTCACTAAGAACAAGTGATTCGAAATGATCGAATGACGAATTGATCGAAAATGATGAGAAAAATTGTTCGTTTTGTGATGATATGCATAGATGTAATGAATGTATTTGATATTTATTAAGAAGTATAAGCTGTTCATAGGCTATTGTGTATAATTCATCAGATGGTGAATCAAATTTAATTTTGAATAGAAGTGATGATGAATTGAGAAATTTTTGAAAGCGATGATTCATATTTGAAAATGCATTATATATACCGGGTGTTGGAAAAGTTTTGCGACATTTTGAGAAAGTCCTCCTCCTCATCGTCTTGTAGCGATATCTAGTTTGTCTTACATTATATTAATAGCCTCCAGTGTCCTTTACTATTCTTGATACCAAACATATT